AAATTTATTCTTCTAGACTTTTATAGTTTATGTTGATTAATAAATGTTTGAATTTTCAATTTTGGGCCTCACAGAGGTTCTTCACCATTTTTAATTTTTTTTTAATTTATGGATTTATTTATTATAAGATTGAATTTTGAAATCCTACCGCCTCGCTATCAAGAAATTGTATTTTGATGTTTTCTAATTTTTATTTTATATTATTTTTCTATTTTGGATTAACGAGAGACGTGGCCGGATAAAGACTGTAATTTTATTTTATAATTTTCTTTATTTATTATTTATTATTATTATTTATTTTTTTTGCAAAGAATGTAATTCATGTTTCTTCTTCTTCTTCCAGAATTTGCTTTTTTCTTCCTTGCAATTTTCGTTCCACCTTCCACGATCTTCCAAAGTGCTTTTCTTCCTTTTTTTTTTGAAAAAAAATAAGAAAAGATATTTCTTCTTTGCATTCTCTATTCTAATTATAAAAAATCCAACTAGAAGATATTTGCACGATGTTAAAAAAAAAAAGTTAAATTACACATTGGTTTATAAGTTCACAATGTATTTAATAAATGCTTGAATTTTCAATTTTGAGCTCTCATGAGTTTTTAACCATTTTTAAATTTTGTTTTAAATTTATGGATCTATTCCATGCAAGATTGAACTTTGTATCTAATAGAATGTGACCTTTTTGTGTTTAATAGGCAAGATTTTAAATATTGATGTCCATGAAAATGTTGGGGTCTAAATTTCATGGAAATATAGATAAAATGTCGATACTGTAAAAGTTGAAATTAAAAAATTGTAAAAATATTTAAATTAACAAATAAATATTTTCCTATTTCTAAATAAGTTAAAAATAATTAATATTAATATTAAAAAATATGAGATTATTAGATACAATCGTAAAAGTCTTTTATTCAAATTTTGAAAGGTCTATTTTTAGTAACCTAAAATTTTAAGAAACTAATTATTTTAGTTTCTGTTGTTATGCTATCATCAATTATTTAACCATTTGATAATATGTAAGAGAATTATAAAAATGACAATAACTAAAATTATTAACTTCTTAAAAATGCTTAACCCAAGTAACATAAAATTGAAAATTTAGAGGGCAAAATAAATTTCAATTATATTATTTTTCATCTTTGAAATCATTTTTAACTTTCATAAAAAATTTTATTATTTTAATTTAGCAAAGTGAATGGAATTGTTAGTTTTTTATACAGGAAATATGTGTTTTGAACCTTCGAACTTCAATAGAAAAGAGTAGATAGATTTTATTACTGACATGTTGATATTAGCACAAATGATTTTAATTTTAGTACAAAGTTTTAATATTAATAAGAAACAAGTCAACAATTTACATGGCTAAAAATAGCTCAAAAAAAGTTAAATGTCTTTGTCGAGATTAATTTCTCATCAAAATTAATATCTGTCATCAACGAGGGAGACTATCAATATAAAGAGTAAAATGAAAAAAAAAATGA